GTATTGTGTGGCTCAATGTAATTTGTACACTGATATAATTTCTCAATTTACATATTGTTTTTTAACTTTAAGATGTGTACACTTCAACTCCCAAAATTCCCTAGTCTTTTTAACTTTGTTCAAGAGTGGTAGGCCATGATTAGTTGGTTAGGAGACTTCTAGAAAATTCTGGGATTGTAGTCTAGATTGGGAAATAGACAAACATCTCAGCAGAAGACAGTGATAAACTACTTCTTACATTCCTAAATTGCCCTGGAATTAAGGGGGGGGGGGAATCCAAATAATTGAATTATTCCTTTAAGGATCTTGAACCTGTCTACTGAAGTTATAAGAATAATATTCCAATGGAGCTTTATTTATTTTTTATTTATTTTCTTCCTCTTTGGAATGTATTTTAATTGAAGAGTTTAAGTAATGGGTTGTATCCCAAGGTTAAAACATGGTGACACGGATGCTGTCCTTCACATTATAAAAGCCCGACTAAAATTATGTCTATTGGCAAACCTCTCAAAGCCATGAAACAAGTTTGGCTTCTTCTGTTACTTAAGCCTCTTGATGAATTATTAAAGGGATCTAATTATCCACCCTATAAGAGACCAAGAGACAAGCTGTGGAATGAGCACAGCACTTCTAAGAAAATGGACTAAAGAATTAAAATGTCTGTTAGACAGTGCTAGAGAAAGAGAGCTTAGGAAAGCTTCCTCAATTGCTCAAATAGGTTAGAGGAGTATTTATTAATTTTTGTATCAAAATTACAACATTTTGGCTTAAGTTTCAGATTAAATTGGGCAGTTGATCGGACTGGGAAGTGGCAAGAGTTGGAGTACCCAAGTCCTGCATATCCAGCCTTTGCTTGTGGGTCTGGTTATGTTATTTCCAAAGATGTTGTAGAATGGCTAGCAAGCAATTCTGAAAGACTCAAAATATATCAGGTAAGTCTTTTGATAGAAGGGGAGGGTATGATTAGAGCAAAGTGGGATTCTACCTTTTGAATAAATAGGATCACAGTTAAAAAATTGACATTAAAGATGAGTAGTCCTTTAAGTTCCTTTGTGCAAATTCACATACAGGTAATCCTCAAGTTATGAATGTAATGGAGCATGCCAATTACATTTGTAACTTGATGATTCGTATGAGTGAATTGTGTAACCTGATCACTCCCTTTCGCTCACACATTTGCTAATCAAATGCCTGGGTCATTAAGTACATGAGGCATCTCAGGGTGGGGAGGCTAATGATGGAACAGGCTACCCAAGGCCTCCCCCACCGAGATACCTTATGCTTACCTGCTCCCATCCTGCTGCACTGGGCTCACCTTGCAAAGATTTGTCTCTCCTCTCCCACGGTTTCTTTGTCTTTGAGGGAGAGAACAGGATGATTTCCCTTCCAGCGTCTAGTCAGCTTACAAATGCCTTTTGTGCCAACAGTGAAAGGTTCTGGGGGCCTTATCTCATGCGACTTCAGGCACTCATCCGCTTTTGCAGAGAATGTGTGCCTGAAGGCATGCGAGATCACGGCCTCCAGGACCTTTCACTCTTGTGCGGTGTGGGAGGGGGAAGCAGTTGTGGGGAGTGAGGGGGAGAATAGGCTGAATGTTGCAATGCCTCTGCGGTCATTCGTATGGGCAAACAACTGCCATGGTGCTGCAACATTTGTAATTTCGGGACTGTGTCATAAATATTTGGGGTTATCACATCACTTTGAGCATTCACTAAGTGAACTGTCATAACTGGAGGATTACCTGTACTTTCTCTCTTTTGTAATGTAAACTGTACGTAAAATCAAAATAATGGAAACATTTGCACATTGGTAGATAGGTGAATGATTGGTATACATAGAATTCTAATTGGACAGAATTTTCATACTGCATTAGACCAGTTTTTTATCAACCTCACTAACTTTTGGATGTTTGGACTTCAACTTCCAGAATTACTCCATGCAGCAGAATGGCTGGAGAGATTCTGGAAGTTGAAGTCCTCCCTTCTTGAAAGTTGCTGAGGTTGAGAAATATTGCAATAGACAATCTTGACTTATTGCCCCCCCCCGCAAAAAGCTATGCAAGTTCAGACCTGATTAATACAGATGTGAGATCATAGGAAGGACCAGAGAATTGAAAAAAAACCAGAAGGTGACAATGGCAAACCAGTTCCATTTTGTTGCCAAAACAAAAAAAAACCACAGTTAAATCTATGAAAGTATTGGAAATCTGCTGTGATTTGAGGAAGTCCTTTATGAAAGTGCTTAAGTTCTTTATTATGCTTGTTTTAGTATAGAGTTGTTGAGGCATCTGTAATCTAAACAAACGTTGCCAACATTAGTGTTTAAAAACAAGGCAAACTTTATGAAGCATGTGCCTTCTGCAGCAAGTTTCAGTTCTGATTTTGGTTATTTACACACTCCTTGTTTTGGTTCTGACTTAATTTATACACTTAGGGTGAAGATGTGAGCATGGGTATTTGGATGGCAGCCATTGGGCCAAAAAGATACCAGGTATGTGTTACTGTCAGATGAAATTTCTGAATAAATCTGTATGAATGATAGCAGTAACTTTTACAGGTGCCTAGCGCACCCCAACATTTTACAGTTATCCTAAAATCAATTTTGTGGACTTCTGAAATATACATTCAAGGATGAGGAGGAATCAAAAAAGCCCCAAGAAGTGATTTTTTCAGAGCTACTGACCTATGCTTATAACATTTGTAAGTTTTAACAATTAGGCTTTGATAAATACTTCATATAATTTTGTCTTACTACCTAGAAGTGGCCCCCAGTGATTAATCAAATAATAATATAATTTAAGACAGAATCCAGCTCTTTCCAAGTCAGCTAACTGACTTGTTTTTCCCTCCAGTTTCATGGCAAATTGCTTTGAAATGTGAGTGGTTTCAACAATTTATAATACAGTAATGAAGAAATAAAAGAAGGGTGAAAAATCTGCCAAATTCCTTTGCTTTAAGGCAATTAAAAATATAGAAAGAAACATACAAATAAGTTCATATTATAAAATGATTCAAGACCACTAAACAATTTTTGGCCCTGCCCTCTTCACCAAAATGGCCATGCTTAGCCTTTAGGAGGCTTTCAGAGTGCTCCTGGGGGCTGGGGAGAACAGAGATGAACGAAAAACGGGCCAGTTTTTGCCCCTCCCCCACCTCACAGGAGCACTCTATAAGCCTTCTAAAGGCTAGTCATGTCCTGAAAAAAAAACCAGGTCCATTTTCGCGAAAAACGGGCCATTTTTGGGAGGCCTGCAGAGTGCAAAAACTTTTTTTAAAATTTGCCTCTTCAAAATCTTGCTCCGTTTTATACTCCAAAAAATATGGTATATCTCAAGAAGTTTATATTTATTCAGGCAACATCATATAATCTAATAAAACTACATTTATTATTTAACATAAGGCCCACATCATAAGGAATTCATATGTTTTTTAACTTTAGATTTGTGGAAGGACAACACAAAAATCAATTTTAAATACAATATTGCCTCTGCCCTTCTTTCCTTTCTTTGATTTGTTTGCTCAACTTGTCAGTGCTTTCCTAAACTAGGAAAGAGCAACGTATATACATTGGGATTTTTGCCTTCCTGTTATTTTCTTAATCTCTATAAATTAAATTAAACCAAGTCCTCTAAAACTGATTTTGAAGCTATGCCTGTAATAGTGTAGCAACAGTAACAGTATATTGCTTTCTTTTAAAATAGGATGATCTCTGGTTGTGTGAGAAGACTTGTGAGAGTGGTATGCTGTCCTCTCCTCAGTATTCTGCTCAGGAGCTTGCAGAGCTTTGGAGAATAAAGGAACGCTGTGGAGACCCCTGCAAATGTGAAGAAAAATGAAGGGTGGCAAACACTCTAAGGAAATGTTATAGAGGAAAGGAAGGGAAAGCTTCAAAACAGATGTTCCATCAGTCTCCTATGTAGTCTGTTACTGGTGACAAACCTAAGAGTATGTCGCTGGCCAATGTATGCTTCTACTCCACTGGTTACATACAGTGTATGTTCATTTCAGTATGGCAGTAAACTACAGAAAAGCTTCACACATTCTTTAAAGAAGTGTTTCATGTAGATAATTTGTCTAGTGTGAAATGGCCCTTAGGGCTATATTTGCACACATATCCCCTTTTTAATAAATGGACACATTTCATTTTTGAACATACTCTTTTACGAAGCCAAATATGAATGTGAATTCTTTTATTAATATATTACAGAAGTAGATAAACTTGACTTTTCATGCATTTAGTGTATACAAGAGCAAGGGACTGAGGCTAAACTGAAAAAGGCAGATACAATACTGTACATATTGCATATTAAACTTGCACTTCTCTGCCCATATGCCTTGCTAGAGAAGACACTTAACCGAGGCAGACTGCACACATGTGTTGGCTTCTAATGAATTGGGATCAGACTGATGTTTTAATTTCAGTCTGTATTTCAAAGATGAGGGAAACAGTGCCTCTTGCTGGGAATACTGATATATTATCATATAATTCCTGTAAAGAAAGAAGTTAGATGCTGTAGTAATTCTATTTATCCCTTGTGTACTTTCAGCCAACATGTAGAGGGAGTGAGACAGCGGCCCTTTCTCCAATGTGCATATTAAATACTAGGGTCCTCCCCCCACTTTGAGTGATTTTTACGCTTTCTGGTATTCTGTAGCTATTGGGATGGGTTGGTAATGAAATACCTCAGCTTTTAATTCTCTAAAATATGTTATTTGTATAGTAGTGAATGGAAGGCTTGTTGAGATTCCCACTGATTTCCGTAAGTTACTAGTACAGCACAAATGAATTACTTTTTATTTGAAGCTGGCAAAAGCTTTCATTTTTCTCTTACAGACATGATATTTCTTTTTTCTTTAAAAAAAAAAAAAAGAATACAAAAGCTTCTCTACCAAACAGTGATACATTTTTACAAAAGCTTTTCCCAACAATACAATTAAAAATCAGCCTAAACTTTGTTAGCAGTGTGCAAGTTATCTTAAAATGTATCAAAAGCAGATTTTACCATCGTACTAGAATGCAATCTTCATTTTCAATAGAGTAGAATTGCAAGGGCTTTAGGTCACTGTCCAATTCAACTTCTTTGCCTTTCATCTGGGATTTAAAGAAAATGATTGAGATAGATATTAGATTTGCACATATTAATCTAGTATATCTTAAAAGACTAAGATGGAATATAAAGAAAAGGAAGCTCATCGATTTTAAAACAATAGTACTGCTTTTCTTATAAAGAAACCAATCATCCAACATTATAGAGTGCAATGTATTGATTTTACCAGGGTAATGAGTTGTATTATTCTGGAACGTCTCAATTCATATACTTGCTTTACTGAATTTGAGCTTACTTTAGAACTTTCATATGATAGTTTCAGTTCTGAGCCTGGAATTTTAAGTAGACGATACAGCAATCCTTTGACCTTCTGGATAGTCATAGAATCTACATTAAAGAGAGAATTGTTTAACTATAGATAGATAATACTTGATGCCACAGCAACTGAAATTCTAGCAAAAGTTGATACTGAAATAGATTTGTGGGAGTTGAGCTCCTGCAGTTCACAGGAACCAATTAGAATAATTTAATTTGATATTAAAACCGTACTCCTCCTAAGCAAAAGTTTACCAAATTATAGTCTCTACTTTATATCTACAACACACTGACTGACCTAAGTGACCTTCAAAATACTATTTATGGCATTAGCTCTTTTGTACCTTAACACTATGAGTGAAGCCTTTTCCTCTACTTCATGGTATGAGGCTCCCAAATCTATGTGCTAATTTGTCCAGATTACCATTAACTTTATGCACTTGTATTTCAAATTAACAATATGAACGTGAAAGTGTATTTTTATAGTAAGATTTAAAGGAGTAAAAGTATTAAAAATTTGACCCATCTAGAAATTGGCTATGCTGGGTAATTTCCCCTTTATTTCATTTAAAGCTTTATCTGAAGGCACAGCAATAGTCCTCTATTGTCAAAAATGTACTTTAAAGTATTTTTCTATTAACCTTTTGAAAAAGCTGTATCATTTTATGCAACTTGTGATAAATGTGATTTTTATTTTGAATAAATACTTTTCAAAATACAAACATCAAAGGGTTTATGGATATCTCATCTTTTAGTTATAATAATCCATTCTCAGTGATGAGTGAAGCAGAGGGCATACATTTTTACTAGGTGTTTTACTGAAATGAGCTTTACATTTCTAAATACCTTTCCACTGACATGAAAAAAAAACAATAGAGGGGGAGATGTTAATTTTCTATTATATTATACTAAGAATCTATATGGTGCACAAAGAAACCTTACTGACCTAGAAATCTAATTAGAATACTGTGGATTAAATTATAATCTATTTTTGATGTATTGATTTCTCTTGCTCTGCTTCAAAACAGATATTTGTTTGCATTGTTTTGAAGGCTACATTTGCAATGACTTCAGATAGGGAAAATATCTTTAAACGTGTTACTACCTATCTTACTGCAATATGCACTCAATCACCAAAATAACTGAAACATGCAGGAAATATGGAATACAGACATACTTTCCCTTACCTGGAAGTTTCTTCTCTATGGGCTTCTGGTCAGCTTTGTCGGGGCATTTAAAAGTCAAAGCTGAAAAAAGAAAAATCTGCATAAACAGAGTTCAATGTAGAATTTCTTACAAAGTACACCTAGTAAAGCCAATTGCAGAAATTAGTCAAGAGTAAAATTCCCCACAGGTTTTAATGAATTTATTCCAATCATCAACACACACACACACACACACAACCCTACCTACCGGGAGAAAGTACACAAATCCATTTCTATTCAAATTCTGCTGTATTGACTACAAAAACAAGTAAGTTAAGGTAATATTCACACACTGGTTGGCTGATAACATTTAACACATTTAATTGAAACAACAAATGTTAAGGTATCTCACCCTTAATTCTTATGCAAATGGCCATTTCACAGTGAAAGTTACTCATACATGTAGGTCATAATCTACATGGCGGCGGCGGCGTTTTCTATTCGCGGTGCTTGCGACATCTTATGACTTCGCCCACCCGGCTTGTTGAGCCTTTGGAGATCTTTTTGCATTGCCACCACCCCGAAGGGGGGGAGAATGATCTGTGCGCCCGCTGAGGATGGGCGAATTTGGTGGCTGGCTATATTTGCCACCGCCATGGCCCTTCCG